GCACTGGGAACAGTGGCACAGCTTGAACTATAGTAGATGAGAAGTAAAGGAAGCTACTGAAAAAAGCCTGTTGAGCAGAGACATCCCTTTGCTTGGGATGTTTCATGATGTTCCTAGGCCAGCATCCTGTCTCCTTCATCCCAGAACACTTCTTACAGCTGCAGCTTCACAGTAGTTTTGGTAGTGGTGGCTGTGAGGCAGAGGGGATGAGGCTTCGGTTAAGTGGGAACTGGAGTCTGTTGTGAGAGCAGTGAGCTTGTTAGACCAAAGCTTGTCCCACCGAGGTGCTTAGGATACTGTTTAACTGCTACAAGAACAGCATGGGTGGAGTGGCATATGAAGGCATTACTGTCAATTAGTGTCAATTAGCACTGAATGTGCTGTAGAGTTCACTGGCCAGTTTCTCCTACATCTCCTGGGCTTAACAGCATTGGCTGCCCAACTCCTTGATGCTTTCCTTGTAGATTATCCCTGTCCACAGCTGGAGGCTGCATTGTTGTTCCCTGTGGGGCTGAAGTCAGAAGGGCTGCATACAGGATATGGACTTATGGGCTACTGCTGGCAGGATCAAAGCAAGCCCTGGAACTGACCAAAGTCCCAGTAGAAGGATGTCTACACAAACAGTGCTTGTGTGACCAGCAGACCTCTGATCACTGGTGAGACAGGGAGCTACAGCTGTTTGCTGTTCGGTACCTTCATAGAGTTAGAAGAAGCTAGGAGGTAGTTACTGTATGGTGTGTTTGTGTTGTTGGCGTTTAGAAGCAGCTGCCCTGGTGTTGGAACACTGGATGTGTTGCATGTGTTGACCATGCAAAGCGTCAGGTAAGAACATTGGGAGTATCTGAACCAGGAAACATTGCATTTAACTTTTTTCTACAAATTAATCCAAGGCAGAGGCAACATCCAGCAGCAGGCTGAATGCTGGAGCTTCCTACTCTGCCAAACTGCTTTCAACAAGTCCAAAGCAGGATAGTGAACAACTAAAATTTCTATTTAAGGGCAGCTTTCCTGTTCGGGTGGAAGAGTTAGGCTCTGGAAGAGAGATCATGTCCCTGTAAGGCAGGAAGTGATGACATGCAGCCCCAAGGGCAGCACAGAGCTGGCTGAAGAACTAGAAGCTATCCTACCCTGCATACTGGCCGCATGGGCAGCACAGTGCATGCAGCCCAGTGCTGCGGCTGCAGTTGTTGGTATAGGTAAGTGAAGCGTGAGTCTTTGTATTTTGGGGTCACATGAATGTATACACAGACTGATTGTTGGGTTTAGGGGGTGGGAAATAGTGGTTCTAGGAAAAAAAAAAACAAGTAAAACTGACCAAACTAAGAGCAATCTTACAGAAGAGGAAATGGAGGGCCTTCTTCATACTGTCCTCTCCCCTTCACTTTGGCAGCAGACCAAGGATCTTAGTTGCGTTGTGACTTTGGGGCTGTGGCTGGCCTCCTGATCAGGGTACCTGGAAATGCCAACTAGCAGGTGAGAGAAATGAGTCAGTGCACTATGTATGTAAGAGCAGCTTTCTTAAGACTTCTTGATGGTTAAAGTAGTTAGGGGCACCGTGAAAGTGTGCCAATGGAGCTTTACATCAGATGAGGTCAGATTCTTCTTTAGTTCCCTGTTGTCTCTTCAAGACTTAGACCAGTGATCCACTTCTGGTTTTGCCATTTGATGTTTATCTGCAGTGCTGCCAGAAAACAACTATGGTTGTTAGTCTTTGGTGATAAGACTGGGGGGGAGAAAGGGAGGGGAATGCTGAAGCTTTTGTACTGCATCCCTAAGAATAGCAGTGCTGGGATCATGGCTGCAGGTGACAGCTGAGTACATAACTTGGGATCAAAAGCCTGAGGCATCACTTCAGGCTCTGATGTGCTGAGAGAAGATCTCTGTTGGCCTCAGTTTCCTTATCTATTAAAGCGTGAGAAAAGCTTTGGACTGATGTCATCTCCCCAGGGACAATTTCCAATTCATTATGTGTGTGTAGCGCCGGTCAGGGCTGCAGGCCATGCTCTCCAAGGGCTGTGCTCTGAGTAGGCACAGGCAGGACTGACCCTGTTCCATGGGGGAGAACCAAACCTTTGCATTCCTCGAGCCCTCACTTTTGAGGGTGAAGAAAGCTTACATTTACGGAACTCTCTGCATCGCCTTATTTACGCCTAACCACCATCTGGCAAACTGGAGCTGGTGACAAAAGAGAGGCTGTCTGTCTGTCTGTCCTAAGCTGGCCAATTCTTTCTGGTCAAGGGTTTTTACTTGGGGGGAAGGGGAGAACGGGACACTTGAGTTTATACCTCATTTTGGCTGCTGTAACTGACCTTATTCTTTTTCCTTTGGTAAGAAAGTGACTGTACTTAACACCAAGCAAATAGTGAAAATTAAAGCGGTTTCACTTCACTGTCACAATATCTTTCTTTTATTTTTTACTTTTTTTTTTTTTTTAAGAAACGCACACAAAAACCGTGCAGAGTGCTTCAGCCTTGTGTTCTGCTTTATATTACCAAAAAAAATTCCTTTCAATATAAAAAAGCATTACAGTAGGGAATACAGGATAAATTAGCTCCACTATCTAATAAAAAGAACATTTACAGGTTTTTCTTTTAAAATAGATTTCCAACATCATTATTTCACACGCAGCCCTTTTCGCAGGCATTTGCGACAGTCATTTGAGCATTAAATAACAGCTGGGGGCAGGGATGGGGGGCTGCTCTCCACTCTTCCCCCCAAGGTGCATAGGCTGTGCTCACCGCACTGCAGCCAGGCAGCCACAGCCCCCTCTGCTCTGCAGCCAGCAGCAACTGCAGCCTGAGCCCCCAGATTCACCAGAGCTGCTAAAAACAAATACAAAAATACAGCTGCTTCTCCTGCCTACTGCTCTGAAAAGAGAAAAACTACTGTACAACAGAGGGGGTGGCCACATTACCATTGGACAAAAACAACAAATTGACATGCTTTGCCATACAACAGGAGTCTGCCTTCTGTGCTCCCTTGTTCATTAACTGCCTCTGGAATCAACTCCTTCTGCCTGTTGCCTACTTCCACAGGTACTCTCAGACTTGCCCTTATCTCTACAACAATCTCCATTTCTCATTTAAATGTGCTGCCTGGCCTTTGCAGTGACCTCAAGCTGTGCTCCCAGTGGCACAGCTGCAGAGAATTGAAGTCTTAATCCAGAAAAGAGCGGTGGGGGATCAGAGAAGGTAAGAGAGGGGAAACAACTGCACAAAGACCAGCACACTAGAAGAATAAAGGGTCTTTTGAAGGTACAGGGACAAGTGATAGGGAGAGAGAGGATGTGAGCTAAAACTAAAGAAAACAGTACAGAACTGGGAAAGCCAAAGAGAAATAAGCCTGCAGCGATCCTACCTCAGTCTTCTGAAGTATTCCTGCTTCTCTTGCTCACCTATATCCAAACTGCCATCTCTGCTCATGGGGTCGGTTCCTTCCCTGCGAGTGGTTCTATCAGAACAGCCACTGACACCAGCTCCTGAAGCAGAGGTAGAACAGTTACACTTTCTTCCCTCTGTTTGAGTTTGGCTCCGGTGCAGTGCCCCATTCCCTGCAAGACCAGCAGATGCAACAGACTTTTCCTATCTTAAGAGCAGCACCTGCTGTTTGATGAAAATACTGCTGGTTTTGGCTAGCAAAACTGTTTTCCTTCATTAAACGACAGGCCAGAATTTAATGCTAAAATGCATCATTAAATACAGGTCCAGAGGGAAACCACCCAGAAAAGCTTTCCATGAAGTTTAATGCAACATCTGAGGCCACTCAGCAATCCTGGCCTCACACTCTCCTGCTGGAATATGTTGACACAGTGCAGGTGGGCTGCTGCTCTACCTGCCCAGCTCTCTTGCTTTTTTCAGATGAAGCCTGGAAAAGCTTTATGGCCTCTTTCCCATTCCTTTGTATCCCAGTTCTCCGCCAGGATATTTAGCCAGGATCTTTGTTTATTATGGACCACTCTTTCTTCTGCTTTCCTTCCTGCCTTGCAGCCTACACGTCCATTCACTTGCATCCGCATGGCAGACACAGACCCCACGGTGTAAGGACTGGCCAAAGCATACCTGTTGCTGCCAAGCCAGGGCAGGAGGCTGCTGCTTGGCTCCTCGCTGCTTCCTTCTTCCCCCTTTTCTTCCTTGGCAGTGGCTACAGCTTTTGGATGGGCTGATTTAACCCTATATAAAAGTGCTCCTTAATCTAAGACTATAAAAAGATGTAAGCTAAACAGAAAAAGACAGCCCCTTCCATCCTCCTCCAGACAAAGCGAGTTTGGAGTCAGGGAGCAACCAGAGAAATGACAAAGCCAACAGGGGCTGAGGCTTCCAGAGGAGAGAAACCAGTGACCTGTTTTTGTCAATGACCACGAACATTGGAGAAGCAGCTGGAGTAGTCACAGCAGCTGCACACTGAATGCTCCCAGATCCTGCCTGGGATCTCAGCTCCACCTTAACATCTCTGACCAACATCCAGTCCTGGGCATGTCTCTCAAGTTCATTTCCAAATGATTAAGTAGATAACAATCAGCAAAACATCAAACTGTCTTAAGGGAGGATACGCTCTCAACTAACAGGCAGACAAGAACAATCCTGACCTGATGCTTTTGTTATGAGCCTGTGGGAAAGCCTCAGGGGAAATCCCCGGAGGAGAAATGAGACCATGAGACATCATAAGGTAAACAGCATGGGAGTGGCTGATGAACCTCAGGGCTCTTCCATCCAGTACCATGCCTGGAACTCCTGCTGGAGCAGTATAGCTTGTAGGAAACCACTGCAAATATACATAGGTTGCTCCAAAAGTAATGCCTCCTATTTATTTCCATGGAAACTACAACAGAGAGCACAATAACAGTATTTGATAGATCAAATTCTCAGCTACAAATCACTACTTTTCAACATAATCATTACCATTAGCTGTGCACCTTCACTAGCAATGAACAAAAGCCTGCATGCCACGCTCATAAATATCTGCACCAGTGGAAGTGGCCCACTATCACCAGTGCTGAAATGCACCACCTCACTGTGCTCACATCCACTGTTTGGTCTCCAGAAACATTCAGCATTGATGAATGTCAATGGGTGCCATGTTTTCCACAAGGATTCTATGACACACCTCTGCTTCATATGCACTTGCATGTCTGACACCATTCTGTCAAAGTGCCCCTTCTCCTGTCATCTGTTGTATAGCAATGACATGTGATGGGATATTGATGGGAAGGTTCAACTTCTACTGCCATACTACCAACATCCGCCTCTGACTTTGTGGGCAAATATAACACAATAGGAGGCTTTACTTTCAGAGCAGCCCTCATATACTAATAGCAACAACACAGAACAGTTTTTGCAAGGATGAAGTGAAAGGCAAAAGGCTGACAAGTATTAAACACTATTACCTCCCCTTTCAGGAAGGCAGCAGAATCAGCTATTCTTGACCAGAGCCATTATTTTTCCCAGGGAATGGGAACACAGCAGGGAACAACTTGCTCTTTTTTTTTTTTCTTCCCAGTAAAACACTGAACAAAAAAGGAAAAATCAGAAAGGCAGGCTTCAAACTCTTAATCATCAGCCAGCCCTGGATGAGTCCCATGTTTAAGTGAGACCACTCTGCCCCCATTTAGGGCTCCAGAGAAAAGCCAGACTGCCTGAAGTGTTTGACTTCTCTGACAAGTTTCAGGCGATAGGGGCAAAGCTTACATACAAGGAAGAGTGTATGTTTTCACTCTGTGGCTGGGAATTAAAGCCAGAGTCACACAAGCAATGACTGCCTGTTTCTTAGACGAGCCGCCAGCACCACTTCTTGGAAACCCACCTCGGCAGTCCCAGACTTTGGCCAACGTCGCTGCCTGATGCAACCTTGCTGCCCCTGGGTTGCTGTTCTTCGGTCCTTTGCTGTCTAAACCACGATGAAGCTGTGAATGGTAGGCATGGCTTTGCACTGATAGGTGGGAGGGGCAGCTGTGCTTGTCCTCCCACTCCTCCCCATAGGCTCCATCTGTCCACAGCGTAAGTGGCTGCACTGGGCTCCTGCTCCACAGCTGCTGTGGGTGGCTCTGGGCAAGGGTCCGGTGTACAGTGTAGTGCACATCACCTCAAAGTTCCAGCCCCTGAAGTACAATCCTTTTGGTCATTCATATATTACAACCCTCTTTTTCTTTTTTTTTTTTCCCCCCTCCATTTTTCCCCCCTACCCCATTTTGTTAAAAAAAATAAAGTTTGTGTTTTCAGGTTGTGTTTTGTCTGATTTTCCTTCTTTCTTCCAAGCATCAATCCGATGTTGGGAATGTGGTGGTCCACAGGGTGCCTCTTATTGGATCCCTCGGAAGAGACACATGGCAAAAATCATGGCGAACAGCTAAGAAGGGGGAAAGAAGAGGGAAGAAATAAAATGGAGAACAGTAAGAGACAGCTACATTTTCCAGAAGAATGGTGCAGGGGGGCCTTTGTGGGGACTGCCAGGGCAATGCCCAGCTCTCTCTCCTTTCACAATACGGGCACTGGGGAAAGCACCCAGCGTCTCTCCAGGACTAACATCCTTCTGGGGGAAGCCTGTTCCACCGGAACACCACCAAAGAGCTAATGTGGGATGATAATGGAGATGCCCCGAGGCCCAGTACAGTGTCAGTCTCTAAACTGAAATTTTTAAAGCAAAGGCAGAGTCTGAGCACATTAACCAACAATAACTAATTAGGAGTCAGCTTGCTGGGATGCAGCTGTAATGCGAATAAGAATCATGCCCTGGGGCACACAGTGAAGTTCCCAAAACCTCCTGTAGCCAAAGTACCACAGCTGCAAACTCTGTGCCACGACCAACACGAGGCGGCACTGCAGGCTCATGACAGAGATTATTTCCCTGCCTCTTGTGGCAAGGAACCAAGTGCCTGCCTCTTTCTAGGCGATTGAAACCACAAGTGGATAACCTGCTAGCGCTCTGCAGGAGAAGCTCCCTGTCTCACTGCTGGACATCCACCAACACTGCTTTTATGATCACACGACAGTACCTCAATGGCCAGCACTCCGATGGCCAGGGCTCCTGCGAGATACACGTAGGTCTCAAAGGAGTTCAAGATCACAGTGTAGCAGCCCTAGAAGGGAAAGAACACAGTGAGATACACATGAGCAACACAAGGAGTTGTTCTCTCAGCACAGCCCCCCAAGCCCTCACTGAGCAGGAGGAACTGTGACTTCTTGCAGGACAGAGAGGAGCAGCAGGGGAGAGGCATTCCCTCTGCAAAGGGAAGAGACTAAGCACAAAGGAAAGGGCCCTCTGGGCACATGACAGGCAGCTGTGGCTGACTGGGGATACAGGCTATTTATTTAAAGCCAAGGCAGGAGATTCTTCACTTGTAATTCAGTCACAGCCAGCAGCTATTTCACACACTGGGACCTATTCTTTGACCCTTCCCTCCACAGGAACATGGATGAACACCTGCTCTTCTGGATATAGGAGAATTAATGTCATGAAGAACTCGGGGCCATGCACTACTGTAATCCTTCCATTTATGCAGCACAGCTACCATTGGCTTAAATGTAATTTCTTATTGCTTATACAATCAAGAGCAGGCAGACACTGTGCAAAGTTTCCAGGGTGTTTCAGAAATTCACCAATTTATCCTGGCCTTGTTTCTCCCTAAAATCCTCACTTCTCAACCTAAAATTCTAACCCACTAGCAAATTTCTGACAATAGGTCACATATGAAGAGAAAAATAGACTGGATTTTGTCTAATGTAAAATGTACCTCTCCCACTCATTAAAAATACACATGTCCCATTCATTTATCTGGGATATCTCAATCACCTGATTTTTTCTTTTCACCTAAAAGGAAAATATCTGAAATGCACAGATGGCAATGACAGTTACATACTGATGTCAGACTCTGCTGACCAGGAGTGAAGCAATCAGGAGAAAGCAAGGGAAAGAGAAGACTCATTCATGCAACAAACCCAGGGAAGGAAGATGTCTGAGGCAGCAGCACTCTTGTCATCACGAGGCTCTGCTCCTGTTGTGTTTTCAGCCCAATTTTCAGGAAAAAACATCCAGCCCAGCAACAAGATGTCTGGGTGCTTGCTAGAACTCCAGCCTTAACCCAACTCTCAGCGTGCCCTGCTCAGCAGGCTGGAAACAATACTGAGTACAGATGTGGCAAGGACTGTCCCAGCGGCCTGACTTTGCTCCAGCAATGCCTGAATACAGCCATTAGTTCTCTGGGAGCATCTCTCCCATTGTATATAAATGCTTCACTGTGCTTGGTGACATTTGCTGTGCACACAATTTCTCCCACTGCCACAATGAAGAACAAAGGCTCACAGAAAAACATCTCTTCCCATAGAAACGGGAGGCCTCAGTATCATCACTTAAGGAAAGCAAAAATTTTAATCGGCTTTATATCCCTGTTTCTCAAAATGCATTTCTTTCCCCCTCCCTGCTGTTTGTCGTCTTTTCTTTTCTCTCACTTCTCCCCATCAATTCATGGCAATCAGACCCGGCAGATGCAGTGCGGCGCTGTCTGCTATGATCTCTCACCCAGCGTGCCTTTGCCAACTGTTTCCAGCTGCCTGACAAGGAACAGCTCACCCGCTGCTTCCAAACTCCTTTACTCTCTTTCACAATCTGCTATCAAGTGCTGAAAACAGGACTGCTAGTTAGCATGGAGAGAAAAGCCTTGTACATACAAGTCAGTAGAGAGTTCAGCTGGCTTGCAAAGGCTGCAGCAATAAACACAGTCAAGAACTTTGCTAGAAAGTTTCTGAAACTTCAGGTATTGAGGAAAACGTAAGGAAACTTGGGTGCTGGTAGTTTCAGTGTCAGTGAATTTACTCTGAGTTGCCTTTTTCCAGTTTAGCATAGAGAAGAATGCCAAGTCAAGAGACCTGTCCAAAAAAATGCACTCTTTCTACTCTAAACAGTGAAAGAGCAGAAAAACAGATATCCAACACAGTTTTTTCTGGCTGTTCAACCCTCAATCTCTTGGTTGAACACAGTATCGATGAGGAGCCTTTGCGAACTGAAGTGGAGTTCCTACAGCAGCCAGTAGGAACAAATTCTATCCCATCCTCACTGACCTGCAGTGGCTTGTCAGTTAACTTGTCAGAGACGATACTAATCTTCAAAGCCACAGTAAAACTTGACATAAAACTTCTACTTCACCTTTTAAACCCCTAGGAAAATCTATTTCTGCCGATACAGCACAGCATGGACTTAACAGTACACACAATGAAAGGCGATTTATAGGATCACATATCCATGACTTCAAAAGTTGTTAGTAGTGTAAGTGCAGTCACAACCTCAGCCCTTTCTCCAGCCATCTGGCTGCCCTTACCTGCCGGTTCTGAAATCTCTCGATGCCTAGGAGGCAGGCTTGCCTGTTAACAATCATCCCTTCTCGGCTCTGGAGCTTTCGTTGGCAACAAGCCTCTGGTGTAGTAGTCTCTTCCATTGGCAAATGTGGAGGTAGAGGGACAGCGTCAAAATCTTCTGGTCCGTTCACTCCACAGCAGGCAAACTGGAGAGAAGAAAAGAAGACAGAGTTTACACTTTGGCCTCAAAGGAGATACCAGAAATCTTCCAAAGACCTATTTTTGCAGGGATCAAAGCTTTAGTCAAAGCAGAGACAAAACAACTGTTGTTTCCAAGGAAGCGGATTGCACTTGTACCTTGGAGCTTCTGTTTCATCAAAGCCTCTTTTTATAAAGTCCCACTGTTCCCAAGTCACACAGTAGACTCTAAGGTACCATTGGGAATATTGCCATGAACTACACAGGACTTTGGAGTGCATCCAGAATGACTCGCCTGAGATCACCCAGCAAGTTTGTAAAAGAGCCAGCGGTGCAATCCAGGCTGAGTGCTCGTTCTCCCCAGAGCTAATGACCAGGACTGCTGCTGCTCAAAGGCTCTGCTAGGTGATCCAAGAAAATTCTCTTTTTAGGATTCAAGTCAGGTCCTTTTTAAGGATTCAAGTCATGCTCTGTCTCCTTTCAGTCACCAAAAGGAAATGTCTTTATTGAAGTCCTGAATCAGTATGAAGGGCAGCAGTCATCTTTTTCTTTAAAGATTCAAAATGACTTTTTGTCTGCAGAGTCTGACCTCCTACTCTTCACTCCTGAACAGCTATGATGTGGGCTGTGCCAGGCACAAATTTCACATATGTACATGCAAACACAAGCACACACAACTTTCTGCAGCAGGCAGGCACAAACAACTTGCAGATAAGAAAAATTCCAATGCCAGCAACACAGCTGATCTTCAATCCAGCTGGTTGAGTCCATAATAACAAAGACAACTTCGATGGTGACTGTTTACACACTGAAAATATTCTGTTAGGCCACTCCAGCCTCATCTGTCACCTACAATCTCATTTCACAGGAGGTAATAAGAAGCCATTAATTAGCACCTGTTCTGGCTGCTGTTGGCTGAGAATTGGTTTGTAGTAGTCTCAAAAATGATGTGTCTAGGGTAAATGCATGGAGATTCTGGCCCATTTGTTACAGGCAGCTTCAGAGCTTTCTGTATCCAGTTCTAGAGTTGGGCATAGTCAATCAGCCCAAATCCTTGGGCAGTGGGTGATAGTCATTGTGACTCTTACTGCCAGCAACAGGAGCAGCTAGTTGTGGGAAAACCTGGCTGCCAATGAACGGTCACCTCCCTCCTACCACTGCCAGGAGGAGCCAGGAGGTGTTGGCTGAGCACAGCATGAATGGCACCTGACCACCAGTAGTGTGGGATCAGCATGGCCTGACTTACTGTGATCATAACAGAATTCCAGGTGGAGGAGAAGACATCTGTGTCGTTGTTCCTCACGTAATGCTTCTTCAGCTCCTTGGTGAAAAACTCTCTCGTCAGCTGAAACACGCGGAGACAGGTGGGAATGCAAAGGGTTACTGCCAACATCTCTCTTTCAAGTACTTCTCAAACCTCCCTGCTGTGAATACTGGGCGTTGGTTTGATTGGTTTGGTTTTGTTCTTTTTTGCAGACCTCAAAGGAGAAACATGGGAAAAGCCACTGGCTGAACCATTACTGTGCCCAGGGTGTTTGGTACTTGTTCAATAAAACTGCTCATTAAACATCAGGGAGTGAATTATATCTATATTTGCAAACTAATGTGTACATTTAAAGGCTGATGGGTATTGTTTGCTTTTTTTTTTTTAATATCGAGTATTTGAAAGTGTTTCATAAGTTGAAATGACTAAAGTAGATTTTAGAAAGATCTTCAAGTCCAAGTCCAAATAGTAGCTTAACTTACTATGCTCCCTGAAGTCTGCAATCAAGACATGATTTCCCCCTCACTTTCATTTCAAACCAGTTAACTTCCAACTAATGTCAGGGGAACTCTGAATTTACTTCCATGTGTGAGAAAGCAGAATGAAGCCCAAACACTAAATTTCCCTGGAAGGAAAAGGAATTAAAACACGTGGAACAAATGCAAAATGTTCAAGTCAACTCACAAATCAGAGAAGAGATTGTTTCCCTGACAGTGCTTTGGAGTATCTAAACTCACCCACACACGAAGAAAAAAATCCTCTTTATATTTCCAATGTTTAGGTAACTTAAACATTTTTTTTTTTCCTAAGGTCAACGATAAAAACTAATGGAATTTAATTTACTCCTGCTTACATTTATAGTAAAATAGAAAAAACAAACCAACATCTCTGCTCAGAGACTCCTGAAACAGTTAGACACCTTGAAATTACATTTACGCAGGATCACTCTCTGGAGGACCAGTAACCATTCAAACTTAAAAGTCCTATTAGATTGAGTACTTCAGTTCAACCTTGTGCCCTCTCTATCACTTCAGGATGAAAACTTCAAGACATCCCTCTCTCCATGTTCCCAGTAGGCCCTGACTTGTGTGGTCCCTTGTCTAAAATACCTTCTGATTTGTGATCCATACAGGCACCTCTACACCAGCACAAAGCTTTGGTGAAAGGGGTTGGACTCTGCTGGATACAGCATTTCTCCTGTGTTATATATTTGCTGGACTGGGAATTAAGCTGCCTGAGAAAGAGCCTTTTTTTTTTTTCTTTCCTGTTGTTCACACAGCATTGCATGTGCACCAAAACAAACTGCTACAAGTTGGTTTCAAGTTCTAGATACACAATGTGAAATACATACACATACATATGGATGAGACGTATGGGTGGGCACAGAAGCACAAGCACAGACTTGACCATTTCCTTTGTAACTGTACCACAAACCTCAAAGCAAGCCGATAAGGCTGCTGTGATTCTTTAAAAGAGTCAGAATACCACTTCGTATTGATTTCTCTTTTGCAGATACAAACTAAGGCAAAATCTAATGACTGCATCAATACTGGGTAGAACTCTGTCACAAAGACTTGAATGGCACAGGGAGCTAAATGTCATTACTTTTTAATTAGATGGGCAGTTAAGTTCCTAAATCACTTTTATGAGACAGATTTTTAACTTCTCTCTCTCTCTTTTTTTTTTTTTTTTTTTTTTTTTTTGCTTTCAAACATTAAAATACCAAAGAATCAGAAAGGACTGAAGGACAGGCATTTTCCTTTGGGAATCTGGTGCCCTAGGTTTGAAGATGCTGAAACATGTCCTCGGCCTTCTCCTTTCCTTCCCTCTCAGTGCATACTTCACCCACCCAGCATCCTCTCCTGTAGAGACAGCAGCACATTTTTCTGATGCTTGTCTGTTTCTGAAGCGCAGGCTTTGAAACTGATATTACAGTTGGTAATAATCCCAGCCGGCTGCCTTTGGCTGGGTCTAAAACAAAAGAGTCATTTAAATATAAAGTGAAACCTTTATTTTGACAGCAGCAATCCCAGAGGAAATTGTTCAGAGTTTGTGTGTGATTTTTACGAGACTTGGCCCAAAACAAAGCCTAGCGCAGGAAAAGTACGTCTGCCAGGGAAATAACTGATTCCATTTTGCTGCTCTTAAATTGTTTGTCCTGAAGTACGTGAAGTTCAGAAAAAAAGTTAAGAATCAATCAGCAGAGGTAAACTGCTGACAAAGTAGGGCAAAAGTCAGTAAGACAGACCTTACACATGTCAACCTAGGGACGGACTGTGCGTTTTCTTTAGTTTTCCCTCACATCTGAGGAAACAGAGCTATCAGAAACCAAAGAGACTTGTCTTTCAAGTGTCAAAACTGAAAATGAAAATGCAAACATCCTGATTCTGTTCAAAGTGCTGCCACAGGACTCACCTGTCCCTATCACCCTGTGCTTTCTTGCTTGCTAATGCAATTCACCAAATCTCTCAGATGGACACAGTCATTCAAGCACAAAAACACTTCGAAGAGAATCAATCTCAGCCACACGAAGTTCAGGTGTGATCATTAGCTCTGTCACACAGAAGGCCTGAAAAAGAGTCCAGCACCCTCCACAGCTCTTCCCATCCATACCTTTGCAGGGCACATGGAGACCAAATTCTGAATACAAGTCAAATCTCTCTTCCATGGACCCTAAGCAATGCCCCTCTGTTGCTCACATTATTTATAGAGTGTGAGATAACCAGTGTCATTGAAAAACAGGGTTCTCTGCTGCCCCAAATCTCCTTTATGAAGGAAGAGAAACTCTGGTACTCCCACATTCAATTAACCACAGTCTTCCTCTTCAGAGATTGCTTTAAAGCAATAACGTGGGACTCCCAGAGGTCTTGCATGGCATATTAGCTCATCACTGCTAACATCACTTTCACTCACCTCACCACCACGCTGTGCTTCACCAACTTTTCCTCTCATGTCCAATCTCTGCAGAAAACATCTCTTTCCTCCCTTCCGTATCTTTATTTCTCTTACTCCCACAGCTATTAATAATTTAACTCTTCTGAGTGTTGGAAGCTAGTTTGCATGTAAAACTACACAAGAGAAAGCTGCACCAAACATCATCTGGAAAGCAAACAGAGTGTATCCCTTTTGTCTCACTTTATACACCCTGTGTGGCCAAAGCCATAGGGACTGGTGCAGAGACCACAATGGGAAAGCATCCAGCAACTCTACAGAAAATGTAGGTTGCCTAAATGTGCACTTACCACTGCAAGCTTTGAAAATAACTCATTACATGGGGAAGAGAAAAGCACATCGAATCCTGACCTTCCGTGGTCATGGAAAGATGGAAGGTTCAACCCTCCGTCCCCACAGACATTCTGTCCAGCCATCTAGCCTCACACCAACCCAGCAATGACAACAACATTAGTTCTCAGTAGTTACCAAGCCAGAGGAGCCACCAGCAAAACACATAGCGACAGCAAAGCAAGACTTTGTACAGAAGAAACCTTTAAGAGAAGACAAACCACAAGAATTTTCAAACTGAGTTTAACTTCAGAGTAGACACATCTCCAACTGCTGGGATTCTGACGTCCTTCATTTCTTCCTTTTCTGCCTTTCCTGTCAGTCATTCTGACAGGGTGGAAAGCTGGTGACGCAAACAAGGAGACAAGCTCAGGAAAGATAAAATAGTTCATTCTCCTTCAGGTTTTGACTCATAAAGCATCACCAGATGTCACAGAAGTCTAGAATAACCACTGTGACCTTATCTACGAGCATCACATTATCACATATCCCATGGTCGCCATGGTATTGGAAGAACACAAGACTTTGCAGGATCCTTGTGGCTGAGGGAAGAAGGCACAGCCACTCCACACACAGGAGGCATCATGCCTGTCCAGTTTCTCATGCCTGCTCTAAGTTCCCCACATATCATTCACTGGGATCGCTTATATCTCCTCCACAAACATTGCAGGGCTGCACACAGACTTCCTATGTGTGCGGTCTGCTGCTTGTGCTGTACCAGAGGAATCCCCTAAAACCTCCTAACAGCAGAGCTGTAATGACCAGAGCACACCAGACCTCCCGTGCTGAAATCTCCTTACAGAGCTGTAGCTACTCCCACAAAGGCACAGGCTCAAAGCCTGAGCTATAATGGAGTTCCCACATTGTGTACCAAGTGCTGCTCTTTCCCAACTCTTCAAATCCGAGGCAAAGACAAAAGACCACTGACTTTTGGGGACAAAAAGGACAAAAAAATAGAAGGAAATAAAAAGGGGGTATAAAGAGAAAAAAAAGAGAGGAAAAATTCCTCCTGCCACCTCTTCCCAGACTATCTCACCACACAACCAGCACACCACTTCATCATGAGCTTCATAATTCTTAATTCTTTGCTTATCAAAATCTCTTTATGTGAAAAAACTAGAAGTATATCCTGGCTCAAGAAAATGAAAACTGTTATCACTGTTTTACAAAGTCCTCCTTTGCTCATGCTCATGCATCATCACATTTCTGTGATGATCTGTATGGGGAAGGTGCTGAAAGTTCTCTAACTAGTGGCAGGCACCAAACAAACAAAATAAAAACTAACAGTCACCAGTGACCACTGTTACTAGCTGATGTATTTTCACAGCCGTCACTCAGAGTTGCATTTCAGAAGCGGGCTGTCTTGAGAAGGATGGGCCTTGTTCAACTCAGCACTTCTTCGTGTGCATGTTGCCCTGTTTTGGGTCAAAAGCCATAAACTCTTGCAGGTCTGAAGAACATGAGACCAAGCTTACTGCTAACATAGAAAAGGGATGATGGGCATTTAATAATATGCTCAGCAGCAGTGTGGAAAAAGGCTACATCATATGAAGCTGTGCAGAGAAGGACTAGAAATCTGTGAGCAAGGTTACATGGAAAAGAACCCTGAATGGACTCCAGAAGGGCTGGGGGAGACTCAGTCAGAGCAGGCGGGGAGGCATATCTTGCAGGCAGAATTGAAAGGAATCTGGCAACTATCAGAACATGAAAATTCACGAAGAAATATTAGACAATGCCCAAGAGAGTTTCTGCACTGCAGACAGAGGAAGCATTGGTTCTGCTGGGGAAACAGGAGGTTTCACTATTAATATTAATACTAAACACATGCTATATTGCAAAAAAGAAAATAGTTGCTTTTAACCTTAGTGCGACATTATTGCAAAACTTTTCCCTAATGGAATGTGCAGCTGGTTTGGCTGTGAAAGAATCAAGAAGACTAAAGTCTTCAGGATTTAAGTAGTTCCACAACATATATATCCTTTGTACATAAAGCATCCACCTTGCACATGCCAGCCTACCTAGCATTGCTGGCAGTTCTACAGACTGAAGGTAGTAAGGAAGCAGGTTTATTGGTATTTGAAACAGTTAAAATAAAATGAATAAGGCACTAATGCCATGCTCCAGCTGGGTACAATCCCACCAGGGCTCAGAGTCTGCCCACCATAGGATACTTACATTTTCTCTGAAGATAAAAGCCAGAATTGCAGCTGAAAGCTCCGCCAGGAAGATTAACAAAATAAACATGAAGAACTAAAAGAAAGAAAATACAGGGGGGGGGGGGGGGAANNACAGAGAGACATTTCATTATGAGAGTACAACAGGCAGTTGGAATACACGCTTTTACAAGTTTTACCACAGAGATGGAAAAAATAATGAAAAAAAACCTATGACAATAACCTGGGGCAGTCACAGCCATCCTCTGACCCTGCCACAGGACATGAGAGCTCACAGCATGTTCTGCCATGTTCTAATGGGTAAAGTGGCCATTAGCATCCCCTGATGAATCAGCACTGGGTTAAAACAGTAAAGCCTAGTTTGATGGAAAACGTTATATGATTGTGCAGATGCTCATATAGGGTTGAACTGTCCTGACGCAAAGAGGGGAAATGATTTGGTAACCCATGACATGTATACACATACATATGTACACCTTTGCTCATCACAATCATAAACAGCTTCACTGTAATATAACCACGGCTCGTTTCGTGTTTGGAAAAAGGTAGTAGGACATACACTGAAATACTTACATGTGACCAAAAATGGAATCTTTTTAGAATTTATCTCAGGACAAAATTAGCCTTGGTTAAATGTATCCTCTTCCAGACAGTGGGGTTGCACTGGGTACATTAGTATGAAACGATATAACTACATACTATGAAACAATATAACCACATGCTGATATGGTACCCCTACACTGAGAAACCATAGCCAAGTGTGGGGGCCCCAGAGGCAGCACAGAAAGCTGGTCCACAACTTGAGGTACAGTTTGGAGAAGAAAACAGTGTTGAAGGGAACAAATCTGCCAGGGAAGGAAAAGAGAGAGAGCTCACATTTCAGTCTGTCTTTAGGACTGATCCTAAGTGACGCTGATGCTTCACTTCAGTCCATAACAAACACTACAAGAAACAGGCAGGAATGTGTTCTCTAGCATCCTTCAAACGGCAATTGTTGATGCAGAGGAACATTAAGGGAACAGAGCAGAAAGTGGTAAGGCTCACACGTTCTCCTGAAATGGCATTTCTAATTTTCACTTCTGGAGACAAAACACTAAGTTAGTTCAGACTTACAGTTCCTCAAAATGGACACTTTTATGATGCCATAGTCAAACAAAGACATTATCAATTGAGAAATGTAAGGATTCCAAGATTTAGACCACAGGCTAAGATGATTTTACCAGGCTGAGTGGCTGTTTGGAAATGACCGTGAGTTTTGGTACCATGTGAATAGGGAACCCAGTAAAACTGCTTCATATGTGTCATGGTTTTGGTTTTTGCTTATTTGATTTTCAATATTCCACATCAAAACATCATGTACTGGAAGTATTAATGCTCTAATTCTACGTACCTATCCCTATACATTACGGAAGTCACGGGATCTGACCCTTCCGGGGGGGGCGGTCTCTTACTGCCTGGCAGTGGGTGCTGGAGGGTGCTTTCCTAGCCGTTCCAAGCTTTTTCAGGTTTGACTCGGTCTCGGGAACTCTCTCTCATATCTTATTTGATTTATTAGTCTCAATTTCAATTAGATTGTATTATATTGTATTATTTTGCATTCCGATATCATAGTTAGTAAAATAAGTTTACCTCCATAGATTGTTGCCGCTGTTTTTTTCCTTTTCCCCCTACCTTCCCATTTTGTGGGCCCAGGCGGGGGGTGGGGAGGGCAGGGGCCTACTGCCCCCTGTCACGGGCATAAACTGATCTAGTTAATTCCGTGACAATATGGAAGGTAACAAACACATGGTACAAGTGGTTGAAACAACAAGCAGAAATAAACACAAAAGAGATCTTGATTTTTCTTTTGCATGAAAAGGCTATTGAGGGTCTTTCCGAAACAGAAGGAAGGCAGATGGGGCCAGAAGTGCTATTTAAGATCCCTGAGCAATGATTTATAAACAATGTATGGAATGCCATGCACCGTGTACTTTGATAATGGAGAGAAAATTCAGACTACCAAATTGGAATGGGAAAGTGTTCTTTTGGTGTCAATTACCAGAGCTGTAAGTGATTTTTCCCCACTGGAAAAGTACACGCACTAACCTGTCCCATTTGTCTTTCTGTCTCTGCAATGGAAACAAAAGAAAAGGATCCCAGGCTCAAATGACAAACAAGGCAAGTCACATGGAGAGGGTTGCTAACAGAATGTTGTTGCTTGACTTGCTGAACTAGTTAATTCTATAATTTATTCTTACTGCTAGACTTTTACATGCAGCTTCTATTTTTCCTGCTCAGAGACTATTTTGTTTTTAATTTCACCACAGGAGGGCAAAGAGCAAGTGATGAGGATGAACCACACTTTGCACATCATCCATCAAGGGATCTCAGCATAGCCACTAAGAGGTCTAAGGTGGTGATCAAGTGATTAATCTCATCACCTTGCTAATTGCATTTCATTTACTGATTGCTGGGAGATACAGTTCATATGAGCTCCAATACAGGTCTGTGCAGAAGTATAAGCAGCCATCCCCAGATTACCTCTGATAAGGTTCATTATCATTCCCAAACTGATACACACTTACATTGTGCATTACAGATTTGAAATAGTTACTGTAGAAAACACAGAAGCAGCCAAGCAGCCATTGGAGGTGATGAGAAAAAAAGAGATGGATCATCTGTGTTTTAGAACTTGTTCTCATTCTGCATTTTAAGGCAACACAGCATCTGCTTATTATGTTTTGCCTCACAGAATTAAATTAAGCAATTACTGAAATATGAGCACTCTGGACAGCCAACTGGTCAACACAGTGTATGGGACACAACAGCCTCACATACAAGCCCATGCCTGAGACTGGGCACTTGTGTAAAGGCACCCCACTCATCCAGTGTGAGGGTCTGAACACCATCCTTAGAAATAGGGTCTCCTGTTGTGGTTAAAAATCCTACCTCACCTCTTGGTGACAGCTCCACAATTGTCAGAAGCTTCCACAAATCAATGTTTCATGTTTCTTTCCCACAACACACCTACTGTTCCAGCTTCAGTTGTTGCAGAAAGAGCAGACATTGCCTTTAAATGCAAAGGACTTGTGTTTTCATTTTGGAAAGCTGTAGAGGCTGCTGTATCTGTATTACAAGAGTGCAAAAAAGGACATCGACCCTCACAGCGAAGCCAAATCAAGCTAACACAGACTTCTTTCGCAAATCTGAATTCAGTCTCCTGTGGCAAAATAAAAACATTAGCACACATTTTGTTTTGTACACTCAGTAACACTCTGGATTCTGATTCTTATGGTGTTCTTTTCTAGTCATAGGGTCCTCAGGACAACACAAAATTAAGTCAATCCTGAATTTTCAGGCCCACCTTTGTTGCATTTTGTGAGCCACATCCAAATGCTGGAAAATCTAGAAACACTTCACAGCCTTGTGCTTAATGCAGCATGCTGGGTTTCACAGGGATTTTTTGTAGGTGGTGGTGGTGGTGATGTGTGGGTTGTTGTTTTTTCTTTCCAAAAGACAAGCAGCTTAATGTAAAATAAAAGACATTGTAAATACAGAAGTCAGAACCTAGAGAACATGTATGTGTGCATCTGTCTTGTCCCTTCTATCCTTTATTTACATTTGAACCGAAAGCTTCACGTATACATTATGCATCACTGTGAAATCTCACTCAAGCAGCCCTGGCTCATCAATTCTTTAACAGCTTTGCAAGAGGACTTGATTTGATCAGGCAACTTCTCCCTAAGTACCACCTCTAAAGCCAAACACTCTCAGTTCTGCAAGCGAATGCCCAGTCTCACTGGCATACGTTCATGAATGGTTTGCCCTTTCTATGTCTAAAACACTCCCATTAGACTTCTGGTTTCATAGATCTTTTGTGTATTTTAAGATCAGCTGCTCTGACCTCCCAAAAAGCAGAAATTAGTAAAATATCTCTTCCCACTTGGCATCAGCATAGATCACTGTGCAAGTGCTTTGCTGCTGTTGGAGGTTATGAGAGCTGACTTTGACGTCAGAAGCTGCAATGCTAATTCCTCACCCAGTGATTACTTTCAAAGTTCCTGCCAGTTCCAGGTATTACCTCATGCCCATTGAGGTCTCAGATTCCAAGTATATAATAAAATAATAACAAAACTAAATATAAATAAAGCAGCAGGGCTCAGAACAATTTCTATGAGTTAGAAATAATAACCACAAATTTGAGTGCACTGGAGCAAAAATAAAACACTGGGAGGAATATTCAAACAACTATTGACCTCAGTGATGCTATGTCAGGAAAGCACAGCACAAAAGTCCCCTCTTCCAGCCATGTCCTCTATCTGTATGCTGCTTATGTGGTCCAAACTCAAAACGTCTCTAATTCACTTGTAATCAATACTTTTCATCAAATGTAACTTTTTTTCTTAATCAGGTTAGGTTAGGCTCTGAAGTAAACTCAGGCTCACTGGGCCTGATTCTTCACATTTTGTGAGGCTCCTTCAGGCAGGTTTCCCTGACTTGACAAGTGATATATTGAGTTTTCTGATTTACTTCTGAGATGATTCACTAGCGATCCTATCCACAAAGGCTTCCAGAGAGAGGCTCTCACATGGTTATAAAGTCAAGGGATGGGCAAGCCAAGTGTTAAGAGAATTCACCTCAGTGGAGCCAGGCTGAACTCTATGAAAAAAATAGCTCTGTTTTTAAGAAAGTGGACTTTCCTGTTCTGTTAAGATACAAGCCTCATTTTTACTGTGAAGCAGCTGTGCAAGATAGAATCATAACAGAACAGTGTAAGATAAACATTTAAACAAAAATAAATAAAAACAAACTTGCAGATCCTGAGCAAGAAACAAAAGGCCACATTTAACAAAAAAGAGAAATAGAACTGAGCTTTGTGTTTTAACATATAACTGATAATGTGTTCTGCAAACAGATAATGGCTGGAAACCCTGCAGTATCAGAAGTTAGGGCAGGGGTCAGAAAAACTGATTTTAAGTGTTATCCGATGACTAGATGGAATGAAATTTAACTCTTTGGGTAGAAAATTGCCTCAAAAGAACAAACTGGTTCATTTCAGGAGCAGACCAGGTTGCATAAAGGACCAACTACCTATTGAGAGCTACAACAGAAGGACATCTTCCAAGTTCAGAACTGGGCATTTTTGCTGTGGGGCCTCATTACATAGATGCTTCATTCTATGTTCTCTCTGCTCTGTTGTGAACCAGTAAGAAATGAATCTACAGGTGGAACTAATGGTTTTGATGTCCAAAAGTATCCAGGTTTTGATCACTTTCTATAGTTTTTGAGACAAAGCTTGACAAAGTCAAAATACAGTCCCAGATTCAGACTCACAAGACTCAAGCCTGGTTCAGGGAGGAAGCAAATGCTCTGTATCTCCAGCTGTGTGTAAAAGTGCTCTAAGCCTACTTAATATCTAAGGGAAAACAGCTGCAAAAATGGACACCCATTCATGTACTAATCGCAGCATCACGTATCTAGATTAAGAGTCACCCCCGTTCTTGGGAAGCACCAAAAGGCTAATAAAGTGCAAAGACACTTACAAAAAGTAGGAGACATTTGTTCTCACGGATGGCACCGCAGCAGCCAAGGAAACCCAGCAGAAAGAGCATTGCTCCCATAGCCAGCATGATGTATGCTCCTGTGAAGAGCAGAGGGTTGGCAGCCACGATCTCTCGAAAACCTGTTGGATCCACGATGACCCAGATCCCAACTCCTAGCAGACATGCTCCTCCCAGCTGTCACAGCACAATGAGAGGAAAGAGAGGGAAAAGAAGGAGACAGGTCAATATTAACAGCTGCTATGGGAACTTTGGTTTCATCAGTATCTTTTGATCAAAGGTGTTTTGGAAATTGTTTCTGTTGCAAACATTCTCTGCTGAGCAGGTGACTGCTGATATGTTGCTCTCAGCGTTTCTTGCTCACTCAATGAAATATTACCAGCAAAAGCATCTTTTCTTTCTTAATACTTCACTCTACCACCAACTGTTGATTCTCTGCCCAATGCTTGAAAGACTGAATCTTGAGTCTCTGCCACACCTGCAGGGCAAGGCCCAGTGAAGAAGCACAGGGGAACCTCTCCACCGCAGAAGGGCACCTTGCCCCACTTGGGGCAGGGTGTTCCCACCCTTCCCATCAAAGACAAGAGCAACACGGGTCACCAGAAATGTGGTAGGAGAATCTCTGTTTGCTAGTAAAAACCTCAGCAGGACACCCAGGATTAGAAAATAATTTCTTCTGCCATTCAAGGACAGACCATGAATATAAGTTACAGCTTTCTTACTTAGTCTTCTTTGCCAAGGACAGCCTTAATGCAGACAGCAGTGACCACCGGACTGCTTTACTCAATGTCTTAACACCTTCAGATGCCAGAAATTAATAACCTTGGTGATTGCTAGCACAAAGCTGAGGGATCTTTTGTGGTAACTTTACTGAATTATAGCCTGTTTTGTTGGCTGCTGGAAATAGGAATAAAGAGTTTCCAAATACTTACAAAGATAAAAAAATTGAAAAGAAACATCAGGTACTTCATGCAGCTCAGACAGTCTCCCTCCATGGTCTTCAGGCTGCTTGATCCAACTCTTCCTGCAAAACACCAATACTATTTTAGCACACTCAATTTTATTTGAATGACACAGCACTATTTCCATCTCTATTCCCTCCAGACCCTGCGGAGTTCATTATACAGAAGGGCTCATTTTTTACCTGAACAGAGTACCATAGCACAGGCTAATAAGAGATAATGATCACTGCTAATTCCCTTTGCATTCTTCCAGGTGTAGAGGGGAATGCAAATAGAAAGGTTCAAAGAAAGCTTTGGCGTTGTTTGCAGGATGAAATGCTGGGGGGAAAAAATCTGTCTGCAAACGATGGCTAATTTTATTTTATTTTGTTCTAGTCCCTAAGGTCTCTCAAGTCGAAGAAACACTGAACACACCTGGATACTTCAAATCAAGGAAGAAGGTGTATTGACACAGGAGCCAGATGCTGTGTCCATCAGCTAGTCTCACAAACACGCATCTTGGACAGTTGGCTCCATACAAGCCTCCCTTACGGAATGAAGCAACGTGAACAAGGAGAATATTTTCAGGGAAACAGACATCGAGAACGACTGTGGTATGTGAAAGAGAGAGAGAGAGGGCTTGAGGAGGCCATCCTCAGCTCAGTTCCACACACTGGGGCACACCACCTGCTTGTCATGCAACGTGACTTGTTAGTGGGCTGCTGAAGTCCTGTTATTCAAACTGCATCCCGCACAAGTCTTTTCAGGCAGAGCCTGTGGATCAAAGCTGGTAAGCTTTTAATCACAGGAAAAAAAATGTCCATTTTGAATCTCAATAGGTCTGAATTAGACCATAAAGGGCTTAGGACAGTATTTGTATTGGAAGACCAGCTATTAAGTTTGACCAGGTGAAGTTGCATCAGAAGAAAGTTCCTGTCCCCAAAAGCTTGCTGTTTAATGAAGTGGCTGCATCTTCCAATAAGTAATTTCACCTCTCATCACCCTACAGGGATAAACGAATACATCAAATAGTAAAATTTTCACTGAAACAGAAGTTAATGAAGTCACTGCACTTTGTACAGAAGGAAGCATACATATGCAAACAGAGGCATAATTTTGCTAAGCTCTCTAGAGAAGCCCTCCCAAAACTCATGTGCTTCTTAGCCCATCTCCTCCCCTTACACTACAGAGATTGTCATTCCTAAAATAGACATGCATCCGATTATATGCTGTTAATGAAGCACTTTACAATCCAATTGAAAGGGAAAAAAAACAACAGGAATTACACAAGATTTTCACCAGACCAGAAATAAAACTATTTCCTTCACTCACAGAATCACAGAATGGCCAGGGTTGGAAGGGACCTCAAGGATCATGAATCTCCAATCCCCCTGCCACACACAGGACCACCATCCTTCCCATTTAATACTAGACCAGGCTGCCCAGGGCTCCATCCATTCTGGCCTTGAACACCTCCAGGGACGGGGCATCCACAAACCTCTCTGGGCAGCCTGTTCCAGCACCTCACCACTCTCTCTCCTTCGTTGTTGTTGTTAAGCCACAGAAACTTTGGAGTTCTGTCCTTCCCTCTATGGCCATGGAAACTGCTCTTCTTTAACCAGAGGGCTGAGAAAACCCAAGTCTCCCAGCAAGGGGATGCTGAGGTAAACAGTCAGATTCACATTGCGTGTGTTTGCTTGACTTCTTTTACTTGGTTTAAAAATCAACACAGTTCCTTCCCAGTGGCAAAACAGATAGAGACATGTACAGTGCGATGCAGAAGCTGGTGTAGACTATGAAGCACATGTACAAACTGTACAAACTGCTCCTCCACAGCACCAGAGCTCACCTGGGGCAGCACCACAGTATGCCTTTGCTGGCCTGGGGCTGTTCAGGGAGCCCTTTTGTGAGAAGAATCCTCAGTGCATCCAAAAAGCCAGTTCTACAATCCACCTTATTTCTGGAAGAACACCAATTGGAATTGGAACCTGAGAACAAAGGCAATATTTTCCTCCTCATTGTTTGTTTTCTTATACCTCTTACATCCAACTCTTCTACCCAGAGAGACTTGGAGCACGGCTGCGAACGCAGGAGAAGTGGGGCACAGAGCTCTTACTTGAGCCTGGAGGAGATGCTCACATCTTCCTGAGGGCTTAAAGCCACATCTGCCAACATTCCAGAAAGAGGAGGGGATACTGATACTTCAAGAGCCTCAAAATTAGTGACACCCAAACATTCCCACCATCACACAAAGGTTACGCTCCAGCGAAACAAGGACAGCTAAATCTCTCTCTCTCTATCAGCCACAGCCTGAAAATTATCAGAGAAACTTCTTAAGTCCTGCTGCCTTGAGTGCCCACACTCAATCTATATCATAGGCAGAAAAAGAAAAAAAAAGATAAATAGGAAATTAATTCAGCTGTATTGTGTTACTTTGTGTCATGCACACTCATCTCACTGTGGAGGCACCCACATTAGAAAACAGCAACTCCTGAATCTAACCCTGTCCTGCTGCTTTGCAGAGTTGATAAATCACATTCCTGCCTTGATTCACTATCCATGTCTGGGTCTGCTTCCTCTGCAAGATGAGCTCCCTTGGAACAGCTCTGATTCATGCGTCTTTTCAAAGACAAACTACCATTTCTTGCATTGCTCCTCTCCATACCGGGTATGTTAAAATGTTTTCTAAGTATGAATTAGGAAAGGAGACTGAACATGTTCAGCAATCAGGTCTTGAAAACATGACTGCCAGTGCTGGTGTGGCCATGCAGTCACAGTCATATGGGAGCATTAGAAACAAATGCACATTTTTTGATTAGTGAGGCTCCCTTGTTTGTCTGAGTCATAAATTTTTACCAGTGCTGATGCTGGGGTCAGATTTGTAATTTCAAAAATTACCAGGCTTCACACAGCAGAGCAACAAATAAATACAACCTTGAGTGACTGCCTCAATACCTACAGCCTGGGGACACCTGCACACAGCAGCATGATGCACCCTGTCCAATTTATTCTGGGCACATGGATCCCCAAACAGCGCATGAATGCTCACCATCTGGGTGACAGGGGATGTTAACCAAAAGCATGATCTGATTTCTTACACAGGACTTACAACCATTTCAAGTCAGAGTGGAAACACTCCAACAAATCTGAAATATATTACCACCTTGTTCACATATGCATAGTGCTTTACACTTGGAATAGTCTATAAGTAACATTATCTACAAACAAACCCAAGCAAAATGCAAATAATATTCCTTGCAACTAATGTAATTATTAAACCATTTTAAATGAAGTCACTAATCATAAGCTGCAAGAAAATAACTGACATGAAAGGACAATACTGACCCGAGAGACACATTCCCACCCCCTTCTCAGCCATACACAGAACAAATAAATTTTTTGTTACTCCTGTTGCACACTGGTACAAGTGAGAAAGAATCTGCACGCATACATCCTAATCTACCCTTTAAAACTATCTTCTCTCCCCTCCGACAGGCCTCAAACTTGTGACAGATTAAGTTCTCCTCTGCAAGAGACATTTAATGCTAAGCAAACATTAACAGTCAGAACTGCAGAAGACAGAGGCTGACAGATGCTTTCCCTGGCTTGTCCCATCTCAGATCTGTGAGACATATGAGATGCATTTGTTTTTGTCTGAAATGTAGCTATAAATGTTCCACTTTCTCTTAGGCAGCTTATTCAACATTTTCCCCCTAATACAAATTTTATCTTGGAAAATGATGAGGAGGCTAAAACACCCCAGCAGCATGGCCATGAAACATATCCCAGCTGCTCTCATCAGTTAGGAATACAGTCCAGGTTTTCAAGGCAATGCAATTTTTTGTTCTCCAACCACCATTTGTTTCCTTCCTTCTGACATTCATTTTTGCACGCCTTGAAGCTATACCTTGAACTTCACATATCTAAAGGCAGCTGCTCAACCAGTCTCCCAAAAACTGCTTCCATGCTTCTCCTTGCTACCGCCGACATTCTCCTCTATTCCCACATCCCTTTCACACCGGACTGAAACCTGTAGTTTCACTTCAATTGCACTCTCACCTTTATCATGAAGACAGACTCACAGAAAAATATAGGTTTGCTATGATCTCTGGATGTCACTGAATACAAACACCCGCTGCCCCCAGTCTGGGCCAGTTTCAAGGTTTGTTCCAATTCTAAAAGTTTGAGCAGACTGCTCAGGGTCACATTTTGTTAAGTCCTGAGTACCTCCAAGGCCTGAGACTCCTTAGTCTCCCTGGGCAGTTCTGCTGTATCAGAACTGTATCTGCTGTACAAAATATTAGCCAACAGCTTGAGGAACAAATGGTGCTAACTTACACCTACTCCCATGCTCACACACAATACAACCAAGTAATAGTAGAAGATATACTTGTTGAAGCTCTCCAGATTCACTGCCAGACAGCCCTTAAAGGAATTAGAAAACATGGACCAGACTCTCTTCCATGTCAGTGAATCAATTCCCAGGGACTGTCCCAGTGGATATGTCACTAGAAACATCTCAGAAGCTCTCAGGTTCACAGTGGTGAAGGACTGCCACAGCCTAGCTTCACTCCACTGCATCCTTTCCTCAGCAACATGCCTCTTGGCTTGAAGGCCTGGAAACTTGGCTCAGCTTGCTTGCCTGCCTTCAAAGTGTACCCTTCTTCCATGGGGATCTCTACGTTCACCACTGGCAAGCAGTATCTAACTCCTTTTAAACAAAAGTAGTTGGGTTCTGCCAAAAGAGCTTGTCTAACAGATGGCTCCTTCCAGTAAACAGAGTATTACTCTTGATAGAACAGAGATAGGGGCAGATTTATAACTAGGAGATCGAGGGGGGATGACCTGCTGTGCTACACCTCACAGGTGACTTCACCTGACAGCAGGTGAGCCATGCATTTCTTATTCCACTCCTGCACACTACAGCTACATCAAATCAGCCCTGACAGAAACAGAGAGAGCATTTGAGATGCAGAAAAACTGAGCTATAAGCAAGCTTCACCTTAGCAAATCTCAAGACTTGAAGCACACTGTCTTTTCTAGTCTTTAATTGCCTATGCGCCCATATATTTCTCTGTCGCCT